TGGAAATCGGCGATCCCCGCGCGCCCGTTTGCTATGACCACGTCTCCCGCGCTCTGGGGACCGAGGATGTTGTGCGACCGGAGCATGAGGATGGGCCGCGCCATCGCTTGGACGTCCACTCCCTGTGCACTGTTCGGTTTCGTGCGTGCATTTTCTCGCAACGTGAACAAACATGTTCCTCGATGGCCCTTGCCGATACAAAAATCAGGGGGACGTAAGACCTGGGTACAGGGGACTCGGAAATCCCCGACGAGGTCGTCAAAAAAATGACGAGGCCGAACCTGCATTTTGACGAGGCCTCCCGCTGCAGACATCCCACGAAACTCCTCCTCGTCAAAATCCAGGGCGCGGTCGTCAAAAAGCGATGGCGAACCCGAGTCCTGGCAAACCCGGGTCTTACGCTCCCCCGAAAAAAAAACACACGTCCGAGCGATGCCAAAAGGCGGTGGGGATGCAGCAAGGCCCAGAAGTTGATGCTTATGGCATTTCTCTTCTTCGATACTCGGCTGACTGTAGATCCTCGAGCAGTGCTTGCAAGACTGAGGGATTCTTACGTTCTCCACCGAGGTTGCCACGATGGGTGTGCCGGGGTCTTGCCGGCCCGCTCACCGCGGAACGCTTCCACGTCTGAGCGCCCTCCTCCTCCTCCCTTCGCGCGGCCGCCCTCGTCTTCGCCTTTCTCTCTTGCACGCCGGGCAATTTGCCAGCGGTTGCGCCGATTAGTCCCACGCTGGTGCGGACAGCCTCACCCTCGTCGCCGACGAAAAAAAAATGTCGGGGTGTTGCCAAATGGGCTCGAACGCCGGGGCCTTCGTGGGCGCCTCGTGCCGGTGGGTGCGTCGGGTCTTCGCCAGGTGGGCGCTCGTGCGAGCCTCGTGGGCGCCCCGTGCACTGGCTTGCACGACACAGCTTGCACTACATAGACTGAACCACGCCTCTTGCACTTCATATGTTCCCTGTCCTCAGGGAGTGTGTCCTGCATGGTGGCACAATTCGCTACAACGGTACCCCCGTTTCGGCAGCCCTCCGCCAGCGCAGTTACCCTGCCTAGCCGCCGACGCAAAAACCCTCAGGGGATTGGAGTAGGCCCAAGCCGAGGCCAGACTTATCGGTACCTCTCCACGTACATGATCCCGCATTCATTCTGCACGATCGCACGTCCTAAATATCAAACAGTTCCCCAACCAGAGCTTGCCTCTGTAGGGGTCCTAGCGGATTAAAGGGTTAGGTGAGGTGCGTCGCCGATTTCGGTGGCCGGGCCCGGGTGCCCGGGTGCCCGGGTGCCCGGGTGCCCGGCGGTGCCCGGGTGGCCGGTGAGGTGCGTGGCCGATTTCGGTGGCCGGGCCCGGGTGCCCGGGTGCCCGGGTGCCGGGAGGTGCCCGGGGGTGCCCAATAGCCCAATAGCCCAGTAGCCATATAGCCCTATAGCCCTACCGCCCTATAGCCTTGTAGCCCTATAGCCCCACACCCCTATAGCCCTCATAGCCTTATATCCCTATAGCCCTATAACCCCATAGCCCACATAGCCGTATAGCCCCATAGCCCTATCGCCGTATGGCCCTACAGGTCACAGTCCTATAGCCCTATAGCCCGATAGCCCTATAGCCCTATAAGGGAGCAGTTGGAAGATTTAGCGAATTTGATTTGGGTTTTTCTCCAGTCTCATAGTATACCTGCCAGGCCCGGTATCGCCCCCCCCTCGCACCTGCGAGGTGGCAGTATTCCGTGCGCGAACACGGATCAAACAATTGTTTCGGCTAAGAGCTCAGCGCGCACAAAACCTCCATGCGGGGCGCATGCGCGCGCCGCCGCGCGCTGCCGCGAGCGCGTCAAAAGCATGCAAACACCGATGGCCCCCTAACCGTTTGACGACACAGGCATTCACAAACTATCAACGCGCTCGATGAAAACATCAGACACATGTAGGTGGTCGGCCAGTCTGTCAGATGAGACCCTGCGGGCCGCGCGCAATTCGAACACGTTGGGAAACCATCGCGCGCCCGCCAGTTCTAGCAAACAGTACCATGCAGGCCACACGCGGGCCTCCGCGCGCGCACGTCAAAAAACCTTCGGGAACCACTGGTGCGTTTGAGCACTTCAGAGCAGAAACGCTCAACACAACAGCACATCCCAATGGCGTTTCAACGCAGACATGGCAGGGATTCCGCCTTTCCGCGGACGCGCGCCTCCTCATCATCCTCATCAATGCAGTCATCCTCATCATCGCCAGAGTAATCCATGTCACCGTCGTCGTTCGCCATCATCACCGTCATCATCATCATCATCATCATCATCGTCGTCGTCGTCGTCGCTATCCTCGTCGTCGTTCTCGTTGCCGCCGCCGTCGTCGTCATCGTTTACGTCATCTTCGTCGTGGAATTCCTGAGCGCGCGTACTTCCTCATCGTCCTCACCATCAGCAGTGTCGTTATCATCGCCATCACCATCATCACCACCCCATCAGCATCACCGTCATCAACATCACCATTATCACCATCGCCATAACCAGTGCCGTCTTCAGCATCATCATCGTCGTCATCAGCACCATCATGATCATCACCATCATCAGCATCATTACCCTCGTCATCAATTTCATTTGTGCCCCCAATCATTATCACATCCATCATCTTCGTCAAGTTCAACGCCATCGTCGCCGTCGACACCTTCCGCGCCGTCGTGATGAATGTCATCATCGGCATCGTCATCGCAGTTGTCGCCACCCAGCTGAGTTTTCGTAACAAATTGTAGGTAGGTGGGTGGGCGGGACGTTTGCACGAGCATTGGAGGCGGTCACGCGCGGATGCGGTCAGAAGGAATTGCTCAACATGGCTTGCACTAAGTTCCGTCCATGGACTTAATGCTTCTACACCACGCAAGCAACGAGAAACTATATATGTGTATATATATATATATATGTATATATATATACATACATACATACGTACATACATATATACATATATATATATATATATATATATACTAGAACCCACGCGCGCGCTACGCGCGCGCGTAGGTTCTAGTCATAGCTTCTCCAGGGCTCTCCGCAACCACAGCCAATCTCTACGGCTGCGCGTCCGAAGAGCCCCGGCGCGACTCCTTCTCCGTGCTGCTCTGCGCTCCTTCCCCGAAGGAGATCGCGCTGGAGGTCTTTCGCAGTCGTCGTCGTCGTCGTCGTCGTCGTCGTCGTCGTCGCAGTCGTCGTCGTCGTCGTCGTCGCAGCCGTCGTCGCAATCGCCGTCGCAGTCTAACTCGTCGTCGTCGTCGTCGCAGTCTCAGTCGTCGTCGTCGCCGCAGTTTCAGTCGTCGTCGTCGCCGTCGTCGCCGCAGTCGCAGTCATCGTCGTCGTCGTCGCAGTCGCAGTCGTCGTCGTCGTCGCAATCGTCGTCGTTCCCCAAATGCCGAAAACGATGAAAAACTTTCGTCCTGATTTTTCATGACGTCTCCCAGCAGGCCGCCGCTGCAAGGCAAGTCTGGGGCGGGCTCAGCACGCTGCCGTGACCCCCGCAGGGTAGCTGGCGTCCAGAATGGGTATGAGAAGACCGAGAGAACCACTCGAGCCTCGATCGTCGAGCCACGATAGACGACGGCTGCGACTACGACAACGACGACACCGTGGGCGCAGACGACAACGACGACGACGACGAGGAGGAAGACGACAGCGAGGACGCATACGACAACGACTACAGCGACGACTGCGACGGTTACGACGTTGACGCCGACGACGAGTGCGACAGAAACGTATCCTACGAGCCAGCGCCAGGGTAGCCGTGGCCCCCCAGGTTAGCTCAAGCGTCCAGGATGGGAAATGAGAAAAATACCTCCCAGGAGCCAGCGCCGGAGCCGTGACCCCCCAGGATAGCTCGCGTCCAGAAGTGGCTCAGAAAGACAGACAAAACCAACTCGAGCCTCGATCGTCGATCCACGATAGACGACGGCTGCGACGACGACGACAGCGTAGACAACGACACGAGCGACTACGTCGACGACTGCGGCGATTACGTCGACGAAGATTGCAACGAAAACGTGTACTACGAGCCAGCGCCGGGGTAGCGGGGGCGGGCACGGGAGCGGGCGCGGGCGCCGCGCGGAACTGGGCCCAGGACCCCGGGGCGGAGGAAGAGGAGGAAAAGGAGGAGGATGAGGAGGACGAGGGAGAGGAGGAGCAGGAGGAGGTGGAGGTCGAGGAAGAGAAAAAGTGAGAGGAGGAGGAGGAGGAGGAGGAGGAGGAGGAGGAGGAGGAGGAGGAGGAGGAGGGAGGAGGAGGGAGGAGGAGGAGGAGGAGAGGAGGGAGGAGGAGGAGGAGGAGGAGGAGGAGGAGGAGGAGGAGGAGGGGAGGAGGAGGAGAGGAGGAGGAGGAGGCGGAGAAGGAGGAGGAGAAGGAGCAGGAGGATCAGGAGGAGAGGAGGGGGGAGGAGGAAGAGGAGGAGGAGAGGAGAGGAGAGAGGGAGGAGGAGGAGGAGGAGGAGGAGGAGGAGGAGGAGGAGGAGGAGGAGGAGGAGGAGGAGGAGGAGGAGGGAGGAGGAGGAGAGGAGGGAGGAGGAGGAGGAGGAGAAGGAGCAGGAGGGGGAGGAGGAGGGAGGAGGGGGAGGGAGAGGAGGAGGATGAAGGAGGAGGAGGAGGAAGAGGGCACGAAGCGCCGGTCTCACGAGAAAGGAAGCCA